CCGCACTCGAAATATCGTCTCACAGAATAAAATTCATGCTGTTGTGTTTCGTGTTGTGAATGTAAATAACCGGAAACTTTTTTTTTACCGGAAACAAGACAATCCATCTTAATGTTCTGGTATGACAACGCATGTGCATTTTGATTTTTAAAAAATTTAATTAATCAAGGATTGATTAGGATTTGTCTATCGGCCACAGCATGGACTTACCATCAGTTTCCACCTTACTACCTTATTTTGTTACGACGCTATTTGTGTTCTATACTATCGCATAATCAAAGTCTTAATAATACACTATACCTGTCCCTTTTTAATTGTCATTTATTGAATAGAAAAAGGAACTTTCAGAATTTCTTGAGTTGATATCAAGTTTTATGATTAAGTCGAAAGGTTATTAAAGCAATAATTTTATTTGGCAAGTAAAATTATAAAAAAGGTGACGCCTTTATGGGCCCTTTCGTCGTCGTTGGTGGTGGCTTACAATATATTAACATGTTCGGATACAAAACGGAAGGTCATAAACATACGTTCGTAATGTGTATATTCGGAAAGTAAATAATTCAATTTAAATTAAAATATTTTTATATTTCAAATATAAATTAACATGTTTTCACATATAGTTTATGTTATCTACGTTAAATTTCCAAAAAGAAGTTTAATTTAATATGTAGTATTAAAATTAATATAAAAAAGAAAAACCCATTGGCGTTAAACATTTGACATGACATTAATTTACTAACCCCTAGTTTTAAGTGTTAGTACAAGTGTTAAAATTAAAAAAAAAATTGTACAACCGACATCAATATAACTAAAATCAAAACATCAATGTAGGTATTCGAAGTCACATAAATACGCATTATTAAAGAAAATTCAAAAACTACTGGTCAGATCTTGATTAAGATTATATGGAACCACACGAGAAGCACCAGCCCAACCCAGAGAAAAGTTCTGAGATAACCCACATAAGAAAACATACAGTCGAATTGAATATCTACTATACTTTTTGAAACCGGTAAAATGGATGCATTTACCTGAATAATTAATAAAAAACGTTAAACTGTATAGCTCTAAGATATTAGCTTGCTGGTTACGTGTACACGTGTATATACGAAACTAAAAGTTGTAGTGTGTAGGCCGTTCAAGTACTGTCGGGCTACTAGTGTCACAAGCATTTTATACATAGCTGAAGTGTTTAAAGGTAGTATTTAAAGTGTTAATAGCATTGCTAAAGGGTGTTAACTGTTTTCTAGACTTGTTTCGAATTAATTTATAAAAGTGTATAAGTAATCACTGACATAATCCCTTTGTATATAGTTATAAGATATCCTAGTATATTATAATGTACAGGGTAATAAATTAATAATAAAGTTGATCGGTAGCAATAGTAGTCAATAAATACTAAACTCGGTGGCGTAGTTCGCGGGTTCGAATTCCACATGGGATAAATATTTGTATGGCCAACCAAGTAACTGTGTCTGAATGTTTGTCCGTGTGACATGTATATATCATAAAATGCCGTTACGATACCAGAATGTCATAAAATGAAATTACACAATGAAACGGCTATAGATTTTCATTCAATTCCATTATATCGTCTACTCAAGTTGCATATCTCCCATTAACCCAAGAATTCCTCGACTACATCGGATCTCACAACTTTCTCGGAATAATTTATATTCACGCCAAGTAATTTGTGCCTGTCACTAGATAACAACCATGTGGTAACAAACAGTGATTATCATGTGTACTAAATAAAGTAATGATAGCAGAAGGCACAGTCATCGGAAGTACGCGCCTCTATAAGTATGTACATCACTAGTGGCTTAACGAATGAAACATTAATTAATACAAGCACAAAAAAGAAGATCAGTGTAACAAAGTAAAAGTAGCTAATGAAATTTTTTTTGGTACCTCTTAGAACCACAGCTGTCAATCAAACAGATAAGGACGACTATTTTACAGAATACTAGCGTAAAATAACAGTATAATGATTCTACTTTTGTACACGATTATTTTGAAATAACCGGCCAAATTTACAAAGAAGGTTCAAAGTAAGTAATAGAGGTAAGTGGTCAAGAAAAATTAATAAAAAAAATCTCAAAAATTCTGTAATTTTTATCTTTTCAAAATGCGTGGCAATGCATTATTTTAAGTGTGCATTATGTTAATTGATTTTACTGCGCGTGCACGCATTCGTAAGGGTCAACCGGTAGGTAAAAACGTTTTTGCCCATAAATCACATTCAATTTGGGATAAGTGCAAATAAAAGCCTTATTTACTCGTATTTTCAAAAACTTTTGAACTTAAGTTTAAAATATGGCTACTCTATATTTAAAAATAATATGTGTATATGTGATAAAGAGAATTATAGGTAGACTCAGACAGTAAATCTGTCAATCTGTACGTAGTAATCCAGCGAGGCACTCCAATTTTATCCTTAGGGATTAAGGATAGATATAGGCGCCTTTGGTCCAAAACATCCACTTTCCATTTTGTATTATATGTACTTCTTTTGTAACTATTTATTGTATGAAATAAACTTTTGTTAGGAATACTTCAAAAGGTTATTGATAACGACCCATTCAACGAATTCTTTCAAAAATTATTTATTACCTCTAACAAAAATCATCACTCGTTTTGTCATCCTTTTCATTATACATATTCCTCTAATTTTATAGTGAAAGAATACTCGGGAAAATTTTGTTAAAAAAGCAAACAAAGTAACGTAACTCAAAGTGTTTTGTACGATTGTGCACATTTTTGAATTGGTAGGAATATTTCCCAAAGTTTAAAGTAATAATTCCAATGTGATACTTTTATTTTAATACCCGACAAGTGACAAACGAACTTACGATACACCGGTACAGGTAAGTGGCCACTACAGTCCATGAGCACTTGTAGGCAACATACAAGGAAGGCTACATATTGTTGTCACCCCTGAAAACTAAGATTTAATGCCTCACAGCTTGTATTTATACTGGTTTTCTATACCTTTTGACCGGAACATATTAACCTGAACCTGAACATATTAATTATTACATAGTAAGTACCGTTAAAAATATGTCTGAATTTTGAAGTAAAAACCTTTAATGATTAATTAACGAAAAATAAAGGACTTAGTAAAAAAAAAAAACGCAGGGAGTGGTTTTAATAAAAAAACCCACACACACACAAACTGTACTATCTGAATATTCTACTATCTATTCATTCACTAGCGGTCACGTATGGGGCATTTGAAGTGCAAATTCTCAGCGTAAATACAAAGCTAAGCTCCGTTACGCATCTTACACACATATATATATATATATATATATATATATATATAAATTTAAAATGTCTGTTTGAAATGTCAAAATAACAGCTTATTACTAAAAACATATGAAAGTATATACGGTACTTACAACCGAAAGTACATTTTTTTTTAATTTTTAATTCTCTCTGCTTGCGTGTTTGTTCCGGCACAGATTACACAGATAAGTAAATAGTTTACCAACAGATACATCACTCCCATACAAAAGCGAAAATACCTACGCTACAATAGCCTACAAAATCTTAATAATAATATCTGCTGATGGCAGCGAGAAGAAAATGTACCATAAATACACGCACAAAAAGTTGAGATTGTGTTGCCCGCCCTGCGACTCACGTGCAAGCTCGTCATCGCACAAATGTGCTAGGGTTGTAAATAATATTACGATGATTATTTTAATAAAACGAATGTTGCGAAATATACATATTTTTATTTGATAATCAAATGTAGTTGAGTCTTAAAATGATTTATACATTTTTTCCTTCTCTGAATTCTCTGTTATTAAATTGCATCGTTGAAAATATCCTAAATCGCGTAAATAATTTTAATAAATAATCAGGAAAACAGGAGTAATGGGAAGGAAAATCAATGTTTTGTAAAATTTGCAACAAAGTGCTGCCAGGCCGATTCGTTATGACGTTGCCATAATTATTTAAGAATGCTCTTTCTTTTTTTAATTCTTCAATATAGTTATTAAACGTTTCTGGTGGGACTTTTAGCCCACCACAAAAAGATGAATCTTTATTATAGGCTTTGAAATAAGCGTATAGTGTTATTTCGTCAATGTTAGGTTTCTCCTGTAACAAAGCATTAAAGCGATTGCAGTTATGTTTTTTGCTACACATACATAATGAATACCCTTTTTGACTTTGACACCCATCCACTGCACAATAATTACGTGGTTTCGGCATTTCGACGAGTAAGCGCGAGAAGCGTGCGTGGTGCGAGCACTCAGGAGGGCGTGCGGCGGCCCAATGTCGGTAGTATCGTGGACGATAGGAAGAGCAGTAGGCATATAACGCGTGGCCTTAATCGAGTGACGGAGGCCTGGTTCCGGTTAATCTTGGAAACGGCAGAACTGATTTTGACGGTGCTTTCACTGACAGGTAGCTGATGTTATAAGGAGTAATAAAGGCTAATATTATTGTAAAAAGGGATTATGTTACCGAACAAAAATATTGAAACCCATGAAATCCTATGCTAATAAATTATAGGTGGGCAAAGTCGCGAGGAACAGCTAGTATGTACATGCGTAAAAGTTAACGGCAAGTATAAAACCGATTCACAATTGACAAAGACATGCGTAACAAACATACAAAAAGCCTCTCAATCGTAGTCGGCTAAAAACCGAGCGGACCGTCTCGGCAGTGACCACACTCTTACTATTTCTCACTATATCTACACCTACTCCTCCTGTACATACTCCTCACCTATTTCAGTGCATCCACTGCAATATTCCAATTTGAGGAGTCGCTTGTGGAACTTTTCATCTTAGTTTTCAAGAGTGGAAACGCTTCTGTACCCTTCTTCGTTTGAAATGGATCGACCGAACGATGGTGGGATATCCATACGTCCAGTTTGGCAACTAACTGGAAGAGGTTTCAGAGGCCTTGGAGACCAAATAACCCCTAAAAGACTGGTATAGAAGGCAATAAGAAACCACTGCACTAATCTCCCAAGAAAATCACCTATGGAAACACAGAAAAAGAGTAAAGTTTTGTCATGCGACACGGCCAACGCCCGGCGCCACCTCTCCGGGCAAGGTTGTGTGAAATGTGCTACCGGCCTGGCCAGCGCGACTCACCAGGTGACGCCGCAAGGAATTCACTATTCTGGTGCATCTACAGCTACGACACACATAGCTAAACAAATATACTACATCGGGACTTGGAACTTTCGCGGCCTCATTCAAGACGGGAAACTAAGCATTATAGAAACAGAAATACAAAGAAAGATAATTGACATACTTGGTTTGAGTGAAACTCATCGGAGAGGCTCTGGCTGGCTCGCACATTAGATGATAACAATTTAAGGCGGCACGTTGGTCTATTTGGAATAAGATAACACAACGAAAGAGGGGATAGATTGTTACAGTTCTGTAGCGAAGAAAACTTCACTCTGATGAACACCTGCTTTCGCCAGCATATTAGACGACTATACACCTGGATATCTCCCGGCAATCGTTTTCGAAACTAGATAGACTACATTATAATTCAGTCATGATGGAGATCCTCTATACTTAACTCCAAGACCTACCCAGGAGCAGACTGCGGAAGTGACCACCGGCTTCTCATGTGTACATTTAAACTTAGACTAAAGAAACTTAACAAACAGAAGTCTATGCAGAATTTTAAAACGGTTCACATTAGCAACTTTAGATCTGGGTTGGAGAACTCACTTAAGGCGATGACAGCACAGAGTACCAACAAAGACGGCTGCAAAGCATCATGGGAATAGTTAAGAGATGTGTTTATAGAGCAAGAGACTAAAAATAAAATTCACGCAGCAGCAAGCATGAAAGGTCATTTTAGGATGGAGACATCTAAAATAATCTTGGAAAGGCGCATGCTTAAGGAAAAGGGTTTAGTTTCAGAAGAAGATCATAAACGCTACTCAGAATTGAGTCACGAAATACAGAGGCGGTGCCGAAAAGACACCAATGATTACATTAACAATATCTGCTGCGAACTCGAACGGCACGCCGAAAAGAAGGAAATCCACGAACCTTATAAAAGGGTGCGCGAACTAAGCAAGAGCAAGATCGTTCAAACATGGGCCATAGAAGACAAAAACGGAAACCTACTGGGTGACTTTGATACAGTGTTGGAACGCTGGAGATAATACTGTGCCAAACTGTACTGTACACAGGACACACCTGCTCGTGTTAACAATAATTGGAATACTATGAACGACCCAGAACCTAGTATTTTAAACGCCGAAGTAGAACAAGCAATAAAGGCATTAAAAACGAACAAATCACCTAGTAAAGATAGCATTCCAGCAGAACTTTTAAAAGCCATGGGTCCAATAGGCCGGAAAATTATGGTAAACATCTGCAATTACTGGATTTGGACTACAGGCATATGGCCTAAAGAATGGACTGAATCTGTTTTTGTGCCCTTGCATAAGAAAGGCTCCACAAGTAATTGTACAAACTACAGGACAATTTCCTTGATTTCACACGCCAGCAAAGTCATGCTGTATATAATAAATTAACGTCTTAAGAATTTCCTAAACAGGCAGATTCCCGAGGAGCAAGCTGGCTTCGTAAAGGGCAAGGGCACAAGAGAACAGATTCTAAATATCAGGCAGATTATTGAAAAGAGTCGCGAGTTTGCCAATCCAGTGTTACTGTGCTTCATCGATTACAGTAAGGCATTTGATAGCGTCCGTTGGGATAAACAAAAAGATGAAAAAAAAAAACCCCAGGGGAAAAAAAACACGAAAAAAAACACACCAAAATAAAATAAGAGTACCAACACACCTAGTCAGCCTAATTGCCAACCTGTATAATAACAAACGATCTTATGTGAGACTCGATGGCAGTCTTTCCAATGAGTTTATGACTATGAAAGGCGTGAGGCAAGGTTGTATACTGTCTCCGTTGCTCCTTAACATATATGGGGAGCATATCATGCGGAAAACCATGGAAGTCTAAGATAAAGGGTTTCATATTGGGGGAAAAAGGGTGGCAAACTTGCGATATGCGGACGACACTGTGCTTCTTGCAACAAGGGCATGTAGGAGCTGCTGCATAAGCTAGAATTAGAAAGCGAAGAGCTAGGTCTGTCAATCAATACAAATAAAACGAAACTCATGGTTATAAACTGGGCTAACAAACTTTCCAACACTTGCAGCATTCAAGGGATCGACATTGTGGAGAATTGTATATACCTAGGATCTCTGATCTCAAATGAGGGCACTTGCGTTCCCGAAATTAAACGTAGAATATCAATAGCTAAGGATGCGATGACCGGGCTGACAAACATCTGGATTAACAGAAGCATAACAAATAATACTAAATTACGCCTTGTATATACTCTTATATTTCTAATTTTTCTCTATGGAGTGGAAACATGGACTATACGCGTCAGAGAAAGGGAGAGAATTGATGCGTTCGAAATATGGTGCTGGAGGCGAATACTGCGAATACCGTGGACTGCGAAGCGCACAAACGTGTCAATCCTATCACAACTCAAGATCAAGAAGCGTCTTTTCACCACATGTCTTCAGCGCATCCTCAGCTACTTTGGTCATATCTCTCGCCGCGGGGACGAAAGTATTGAGAAATTGATAGTTGTTGGAAACGTAGAGGAAAAGAAGGCCCAGAGTTATATCTCCAACTCGGTGGTCCGACCAAGTCAAAGAAGTCGATGCGCGAAATTTCTACGACGCTCTCCGTATGGCCAGCGATAGGACCCGGTGGGAGATCATAAAAAATAAACTTACTCTCCGTGATGGTGATCATGATCCTCAGTCATGAGGGACCGACTAGAGAGAGAGAACAAGCGTACATATTTGTAAAGTCATTAAGTGGACCATTAGCTCATTTTCTACTCTAATATTATCTAAATTTTTAATAAATTCCTAAATTTAATAAATCAATCAGTTTATTATGCAATGAACAGATATTTCTGGATAAACCCATTTTTTCAACTAATTGTTTACGTACGTGTCACATGCGGTTAATTTAATTGAATATTAAAATCCTATCTTTACAACTAATAAAATATAAAGCACTTTAAATGATGCTATGAACAATAACTGTTTAAATTTTCGCTTTACCGAACGTGACTGTACATTCTAAAACGAGCGCTTATTAATGCCCTTGTAAAGACGAGATGATACAAATTCTTATATAAACGTTTTTTAACCTAGTACGAACGTTCCTCGTTTTATCGTCCTTTTTACCTTTTCAATATGCATTTTTCTCCCATTTTAAAGTGAAAAATAACTCGGAGTTTTTTTTAAATCAATATATACATGACAGTGAACACAAAAGTTACTTGGAGAAATTATATTCATAAAATACAGATATCATAAAACTTAAAAATAAACTTGCATATTGAAAATTCATCAGTGATTTGTTAACAGTATATCAATGTTTATTAAACTTTTACTTATTTACAAAGTTAAAAGTCAACTTTATTTTTAATGAGTTTGTTGTTTCAATTGTATTACGAGTACGTCGCTTCAAATTTTGACTGAAGCTACTGACCTTGCCATCATTGTATTAATTATTAAAATTGTTTTGAGTTTGCTAATGCTGTATCAGACAAATGTAATTGGTCATTTTTAAAGTTAAATGAATTTCTTTCATTTTGCTAGGGACCATTCATACTATTTTTTATCATTTAAAACTTACAGCTTTCTTTTTTAGCTGCTTATAATTTTGAATCTTATGTAAACTATAAAGTATAACGGTAATAGTTTATTATCACAGAAGCGGTCTTTCGACAGAATAAATTTTAATTTTTTTTAATATTCAAATTTTTTTTTTAAATTAGCCTCAACAAAGAATCTTTTGAATGTCAAGAATATTCTATGCAATCGCTTCAATAAGTTTCCGCTGCGGAAGAATTTGTGAGAGGCAGTGGTAAAATATTCACACGTAGACAAGTATTTGCATCACATCACATGTTCACGCAATCATTTTTATATTATTTTGAGGCAAATAAGTAATATTATTGGGAACCTTGTTACATGAGCAGCTATTGAATTTATTGCGCTAGTTAAAATAATTAATATCATTACCTTGGTCGAAGGTAATAAAATAGTTTCTTGAATTATAATATTATCCACAGTGAATTGGGATGCAACATTAAAGATATTAATTTATTTACAATGGTCTCTGAAGGAACCCTTTGCTGTAAATTTGTAAATATCACGGGTAGCTTCTTTCTGTAGTATATATCTTATATAGTAACTAATAAAGTGACTAGTAAATCCATTTCAAATTTTTATGTTTGGTGGGATATCATTGTTTTTTGCAAAACTTTTTCTTTTAAAAATCTTAATCAATAAACACCTTCGTATCTTCTTGCTTTTTACTTCATAGTTTTCTTTTTTTAATTTAAACTTTTTTATAATTTAATAAGGGTGACAAACGAGCACACCGTCAAGATGTTGTGACCCACAGACATCTACATTTATCCTCAATTAAGAATCAAAATGCAAATGTGTTGTCACTCCTGATCACACTCTTAATCTCATGGCTGTTAGACGGGAGATGAGGCTGCAATCGTCAACAGATTTGACAGCATACAGGCAACTGAACAGGCAGATCTCCAAATGCATGCGGCGAGACTTGCGCAACTTTAATACGAGCAGTATAGTATATAAGAGAAGAAGCGATCGAGCGGAACGAGGGCTCCAAAGTCTTTGCCAGAGATCTGTCTACCAGTAAGAGCCAACTGTCAAAGCTGAAGATTGAGTGTAGTAGCATCGTTTCCGAGACACCTGAGATTCTGATTGAGGGTTTTCAAGCTACTGGACTGGAAAGGATACGGTATTAACATCAATGGCGAGTACATCACTCACCTTCGATTTGCCGACGATATAGTCCTTATGGCAGAATCGCAGGAGCACTTAAGCACGATGCTCAATGACCTCAATAGTGCCTCCCAACGCATAGGTCTTAAGATGAACATGGACAGAACGAAGATCATGTATAATGTCCATGTCACCGGTAGTTGTTGGGAGCACTAAGTTCGAAGTTGTTGATGAGTACGTTTACCTGGGACAAATAGTCCGACTAGGTAAGTCCAACTTCGACCGAGAGGTCATTCGACGGATTCAACTCGGCTGGGCAGCGTTCGGGAAATTACGACGCATCTTTTCGTCAGGTATATCTCAAAACCTGAAAACTAAGTTGTACAACCAGTGAGTGTTGCCAGTGATGACCTACGGAACCGAGACGTGGTCCTTCACTGCTGGCCGTATAAGGACGCTCAAAGTCGCTCAGCGAGCTATGGAGAGGGCTATGCTTGGAGTTTTTCTGCGTGATAAACTTAGAAA